TCCGTCTCGACTGCAGACGTCACTCGTTTGCAGTCAGAGTGTGCAGCACATGGAACTCTCTACCATCTCACGTTGTCTGTGCCCCAACATTAGTATCATTCAAGCGTCAGCTTGATGATGTCCTAGAAATCGTTATATTTCAACACCCAACTACATAACATATTCTCCGGTGCTCGTCAAAACTAATTTACTACTTTACTTTCATGGACTAACTGTGATATTGTGATTCTTCATCCGAACCCATGTGTAAACACCCTATGGGATTTGTAAAAGCGAAGTCTTTGTAAGTTATATCCCATAATAAAAATTTGAATTTGATCAATTGCTGAATGTGTTATCACGCTCGTGCAGTGCTATCTCTCGCTTATGCGCGCACAGTTTGTGATGCGGAAGGGACGTTCATGACTTCAGTAAGATGGAGATAGAAAAACAGCAATCATCCATCATGACAGGGAACAGTGGGTGGATTTCATCGTTACAAGCCCCATTAGTACAACGAAGGCCAAAGACAGACTCTGTCCTGAAATCCGTTAAGTTAAACCTTTTGGATCACGTTAAACTTCACATACTTGACTGCGAGATGAGGTTTGCGCCATGACTATGCAGACCGCTCGAGTAAGATTGTTCGCTAACTAGTCAATGTCGTATGTTTCTATCTTTAATCCTGAGTGTGAAAACGTTCCAATCTTGACTGCTTGGAAAAATGACAGACAAACAGACTTAGGAAATTGTTGGCATTGAACTGGAAAGAGGAATTCCGATGGACACTGTAAACGGATAAGTCATAAGGTGAAAAACACCAGTTCATCTAGTCCTGTACGAATTGCCATGCATTATGAATAAGAAGAGAAACCGAAAGGAGCCCCAACAAAACATTGAATAGATTTATGCAAAAGTCCGAACCTTAAAGTCTTGCGTGTCTTGCACACTGACCAAATCGATCAGTGCAGTTACCCACGAGCGATTTGATGTAGAACTCCGGTTAACGATCCACAATGGTTTGTTTGCACTGTAAAAATAAAAAGTCAACAACAGTAACACTAAAACGCACGTAACTAATTCACAGAGCTCAACTAGTGTGCAACATACGAGAAGGTTTTGCCGCTGTCTGTTGAGTCAGTGCTCGCAATTGCTTTCGCAACGGAACACATGACCCCCCAAGAAATCTGTCACACTATGGTAAAGCGAGTACGACACACACACACGAGTGCGATACGAAGCAATTCGATCAGGTGATTGTGATCATCCACCCAATCCGACTATTTCGTTGCATGGAATGCTGTGTCAGAGCGATGAGGAATTGTGGACTGAACGAGCCAGGATTAGTCTGATATTGAGTATCACAACTGAGTTGGAACGTACTGGCAAACATATATACATGCACAGAAACATGATTCGCTGTCTCGTGATTCTGGATTTAGATATCATACAATGCCACCGTTTTTTCTCTTTTCGATGATTGTCTAAGTAAAATTATCACTAATTCTGAAGACAGACTAGTTGTTTCAGGGGGCGCGGGCATACACAATTTTATCGACTATCCTCCTAAAAGAACATCCGATCAAAGAAATCACACTTTCGTGGTGGAATTTTCGGATGCGAGGATAGCTCATGTGGTGATAAGAGGGTAAATCACAGTCCTCAATGAATGGAAATTTGCGATAGATGAGTGTGCGCTAAAATGTGCGACTGTTGGGCAATTTCCATGCTTAATTGCCTTAGAAAATAACATCGGTTCAATTTTTGCGCTACAGTATAATTCTCCTTTCTGTGGTTTGATTACGGTTGTTGCTCATTCAACAGGGGCTTACTAAATGTGGAAACATGAATGAGGCACTAGTGACTTACAAATTACCAGGCAGGATGATGTGACACTCGACAGAAATTGCTGAATGAAATCAGAATATTGTATTTTAGGTGTCACAGATTGGTTTGCGCTCTGCCTATTGTGGCAAGATGATCAACGGCGAGGACGACAGTAAGTTGAGCTGACAAAACAATGTACAATTTTGAGACCGCACAAAAAGCAAAGGTTGTTGAAACCATACTCGGTTTGTGGTATTCGGTTTATTTACGGTAGTATACTCGTCATGTAGCGGCATCGTGTCATAGCCCAGCTAAAGGTCATTGACGTGCTGAAGTGCTAATTCATTTAGTTGATTCGGAATCAGCAACGATGAATAATCACTGAACCCAGACTTGAGGGGAACAACCGTTCGGGCCATCTGAGCTGCCTCTCAGGAGGTCGTTGCACATCAAACATATAATCCTCTAGATGACAGTCTAGGATCATACTTTCCCAATGCAAACGAAAGATTCCAAAGTACACAGCACTAACTACGCCAGTAGCGATCGACAATGATTAATCGTGTACATATCACGATCGTGACTAGAAAAACTTAGTCAACCAGTGCATTAGCTACGTCTATCGGAATCTTTGATGAAGAAAGGGATCAAACGAGAAACACGTACCAAACAACTGCCGGATCACCACGGTATGTTATTCTCCCGCAAGCACTGTGAGACGCAGAAAACAGTCGAAATAGAAAGGATTGATGAAAAGCGTGTGACACAATTAGCGCACGGGCAGTGGAAGGGAAGGAGGATGGGTTAAGATAAATTGTTGGACGAAAACGAACTAAGCGTGGATGAAAGAAACATGATAAAGACAACGGTTTTATGTGTTTCGTCGAGTGGCGTGTTTTCCTGTTATAAATCTTTGTGCACCGAATAAAAATATGTGAGTCCTGGGGACTAAATTTTGAACCATGCCAACCACAAACAAGTTTGACAGTTTTGAGCCGTCGGACAGTTAGCAGAGTTTCTATAGTTCGCTATTCCCAAACTTTAAGACTTAGGTTGCCGCTTCTAACAATGAACAGTTGGGTTTGGCCCACCTACTGGTTATCACATTCGAATGTGATAGATAATATTTGAAAGAGCTGCCGGTACAACGGAAGCTGAAACATTGTTCGCGCAAATGATTTGATCGGACTACTAAGCAACTAGTGCAAAACAACCTTGGTCGAGGTGTAGCTCGACAGGGTCGAATTGGCGACACTGTATTGATGACTGTCGTCGACGAAGGCTAGAAGGTTGATGTAGATCATGAAGATGTTTAGGGCTTGGTGCTAACACAAGATGCGGATTAACGACGAACTAATTTATGCACGGAGGTTCTATCATTTCACGTAGATCATACTTTCACTTCGACAAACCGCAGAGCATTCACGATTTAACCGAATACTCTACATACCTTTACTATTATCCGTTAGTGTATAATTTAATAAATAAACAATCAGAACTCCCAGATTTGCAGTAATGAGTGATATTCAGATGACACTCAGTATTTCACGTAGCTTCGCGAGAGGCATGAGTAGCGTACTTCCGTGAGAGGACACATCAACAGACAGAGCGCGAAAACACATCGCACAACGTAACACAGAGATAATCACGTGACCGCCGAGGATAAAACACGGAAACAGAAAGCTATTTGACCTTAGGAACAAGTAGAGCTGGCTGAACAACTTAAACCCATAGTGCGGTTGGTTGATTGAACAAACTGTTTTGGGGTCAGAAAAAATGGATTACTCGTGTCAGAGTTATCCGATTGATAAAACATCAGCTGACTACTGAATGGATCGATAAAGGAGTGGATAAAAAATTTACTCACGACTATTTGGGGATCTTAATGAGAAAAATATGAATGTTTATAAAAAAAGAACCAACTTAAATTAGTATTTTTCTGTTATCATTAGTAGCGGTGGTTGCAGCAGTAAAGTAAATTCATTCTGCAAATTGAAAACAGCCTCAATAAATATAACAGGAGATAGCATGGAAAAATTCCATGTATAACTACCGAAATTATTTGGGGCCGTTGTACCACCGTTTTGCAGAGCACCGAGCTTATGACCGATTAGGGAGGGGCTTGCAATGAGCTCTAACGGGATCTACTGGAT